TATTGCAGGTTATTAAAGATTTTGCAAGTGGTGAGATTAAGCAGGCATCAAGTTTGTTCGACTGTGATGTCGAACTCGAGGAGTATTTGCTAAAGAGTTACTACAAAACAGCTTCACTGATTGCAGCTAGTACCAAAGGAGCCGCTATTTTCAGTGGGGCGGATCGTAGCGTAACCGAGCAAATGTACGAGTTTGGAAAGAATCTTGGCCTATCATTCCAAGTTGTTGATGACATATTGGATTTTACACAATCAGCAGAGCAGCTGGGGAAACCAGCTGGTAGTGATCTAGCAAAAGGCAACCTCACAGCACCCGTAATCTTCGCTCTCGAAGAAGAGCCAAAACTTAGAGAAATCATCGAATCCGAGTTCTGCGAGACCGGTTCCCTGGACGAAGCAATCGAACTGGTAAAGCAGTGCGGGGGAATTGAAAGGGCACAAGAGTTAGCGAAAGAGAAAGCCGACCTCGCAATCAAGAATCTCCAATGTCTTCCTCAAAGCAATTTCCGGTTCGCTCTTCAAGATATGGTGGTGTTTAATCTTGAAAGGATTGATTAGTTTATATAATCCAAAACAAACAGCCTCGGACATGACAGAAAACAAGGCATGAAGTTGAAGCCTGTGCCCATATAGAACAGCTTTTCTTAGGACTCTAACTGGTTGTATATTCATACAAGGCTTCGAGCTTTGACTTGAGCTCCAAGTATCAGTTTCTCCAAATTATACATTTGTCTGAGAAACCAAAAAATGATTCTCTGTTAAATCAAATTATTGAACAATGAAGCATTTGCGCTCATCAATAGTAAGCTAATAAACTTTCATTTCCAAGTATATGTTTATGTAACTTATTTCTGAAGTGTTTGACGTTTGGATTTAAAGTAGGGATGTAAATAAAACGAGTTTGAGCAAATAAAGTTGCGTTCTTATTTGTTTGTTTGTTTTTTAAGGTGTTCATGATAGACTAGTGTTCACTAAAATTTTCACTAATTCTTTTAGCAATCGTGAACATGTTTGTTTAATGTTCATGAACATGTTTGTTTAACAAAAATAGTGAAATTACATCACTGGTCCTTAAGTTCTTTAGGTTTCACAATTTGAACTCTAAAGCTTACCTTATTTTTAATTTAATTTCTATCTTCACGAATATTTAAAATATAAAAAAAGAAAAAGAGAATTGAATAAATAAGTGGATAAGTGAGCTTATAAAAGAGTTTGTTACTGAACATAAACAAATCAAACACATTTATTTATGTTTGTTCGTTTATTAAATGAACATGAAACTTTTGTTCTATTCATACTCATTTATTTAGTTTAATAAATGAATATATACAAATGTTATATGAACATTCACGAATAGTTAGTTGAACGCTTTGTTCATTTATACCCTTAATTTAAAGGTACCAATTTGGAGAAAACCAAAACTTCTGAGTCAGATTGGTAAATAACTACTAAATTAGGAATGTTATATTAATTTACGAACTTAATTAAACCCAGCAAACCCCTAGAGGAAAGGGAAGAGAAAAAAATGAGACAATGGAAAATCATAGCAAAGGAGGCCATGGCTCGAGCTTCCATTATCACTAAATTCCTTTGCGTACTACACGTCACCAACTCCTACGTACTATCATCCAACCATGTCTGTAACTTTATCATCTCTCCCTCTTCTTCTTTCTTTCTCCTTTTACTGTTTTTGAGGAATTAATTGAATTTATGCAGGTTCTGGGTCCCAGTATGCTCCCGACGTTAAGCGTAACCGGCGACGTCGTACTTGTCGAACACATTTCTCATCGGTTAGGGAAACTGGGTTCGGGTGATTTGGTCCTGGTTCGGTCGCCGCTCGATCCTAAAAAGTCCTTGACTAAGCGCATCGTAGCTATGGAAGGAGATAAAGTTACCTTCTCGTTAGACCCCTCTCGGAGCCACAGCTCTCGTTCTCTTGTGGTACCATTCTTTCTAATTGGGTCTTCCTTAAACATTTTTTTCATATTGTTGAGTATTTCAGTTTAATTGAAGTTGTTGGCTTAGATTCAGCTGAATGATGAGAATTTTGGCTTTTTTTCTATTTGAATTTTATGATTGTTCATAACTAAAGAAATTAGTGAAAGTAACAATTTAATGGAGCTTTGGATCGGTTGGGTAAAAAAGTAAAAGCTTGGATCCTTGAAGAAACATGTAGTATATAATTTAGATTCTTGAATGATCATTTTCCTGATATTTTTCTTTGGGTTTAAATGGATAGGTGCCAAAGGGGCATGTTTGGATTCAAGGGGATAACTTGTATGTTTCGCGGGATTCGCGACAATTTGGTCCTCTTCCTTATGGGCTTATTGAAGGAAAAGTGTTTATGAGGGTAAGCAATGCTAAATCTATTGTTTTTGGATTTGTTCCCCAGAATGAGTTGAACTTATTTGTCGGAATTAGTAGTATAGGTCATGTGATAAACATCATTTGATTTACGATCTCTTTGGCATCTTACATTTATGCTTTTGCCAGTAATCCATTCCGAGTCACTTTTAATGCTTAATAAGCAAAGAGCATGCTTGACTGACTCTAATCAGTTGATTTTACTTGTCTTATTTGTGGACTTAGCCGGTTTTAAATGATTTAGAATTTTTTTGGTTGAGACTTGAACTAGTTTGGTGGAACCTTTTGCTGTTAATGTCTTGAAACAAGCAAATTAAATTCAGGTTAAAATAGTAAACATGGTCTTCTTGGTAGCTTTGGTTTGAATACTAGTTCTTAAGCCTACCTTTATTAGATTGGGATACAACTTAGTGTTGTAAAGGTGTAAACCTACGTGTGCCTGTGCCTTGCACCTTAGCATTGTACAACAAAAGCACCTCAGACCCAGTCAAGTGAGGGCCATTTGATCAGGTGCACGCCTGATGTGCAACGTTTTTGCAAGTCAATAATAGGCATAAAATAACTGCCGATTGGAAATCTCTTAGTTTTCATTTTGTTTTCACTCTCTCATTTTACATATCATATACCTTTAATAGTAAGAAAGTATGATACGGAACTCTACTTATTATTTGAGAACATCAAACATTGACCGTAAAGAAATCATGCATATTGAGCAGCAAAAGAATTACAGGCTTTGTAGATAAACTAGAACACACTTTAGTTTTTATATATGTATACACACACGTGCAAAATCTCGCACGCTACATATTGCATTTTACTTGACTATGCCTAAGGCATTATAAGGATTCTAGCGCATTTTTTGCACCTTGTGCCCTTGGCGACACTAACTTGTCTCCAAAGAAACATTTTTTCGATTTACAAAATGTTAAGACCTTTCACTTATAAACTTCACTGAATTGCCGAAAGAGATGAAAATAAGGTGCATATGGTTTTTAAGGCTCGATAGTCGTGCATGTGAAGAGGTTTAGAAAATGGGCATGCATGCAATAATGAAAGGTTATGCTGGATCAACATGCTCGATCTCTGAACACTGGCATTAGTATTGCTATATTTGGCACGTCACCATTTAAAATTGTTGCTCCAATGGTTTATGATTTCCAATTCTATTTATTTTATGTTTCTTATTATTGGTCAAAATTTGGAAATTACTTAGAGTTGGGTTCTAACGTCGTGTTCTTTAGGTATGGCCACCTAGCAGCTTTGGTTTTTTTGGTCAATGAGAGCATGCAATCAAGGTATAGAGTTGGCTGTTCATGCTTTTAAGATACAGACATGCGACAACGCTCGACCGACAAATGAAGAAATAAACCTTTTATTCTTTATTCTGATATTACCTGGTGCTTATTTTAAAGGGTAAATTACATATTTACTCATTGAATTTTTCTTTCTCTCCTATTTCACTCATTGTACTTTAAAAGTTTTCAATTTACTCACTGAATTTTATATATTGGGTTTTTTAGTAACTCGAATGTTAATTTTATAATGGTGGTATAACATGACTTATTTTAATATTAAAACTCAGCCACATAAGATTTATACTTAATAAAATAGAAATAATTTTTTAAAAATTACTAATTAAAATTTACACCCAAAACCCTATATCAAATTCTAACCCCAAATTCTTTGGCTAAAGATTTATGTAAATGCAAATTAATTAGACGACCATGAAAGTCCACAAACAGTTCTAATCTCTAATGGAGATCTTATAAACTTGTTCCAAAAAATCACAATAAAGCAGTCTTTCATATGTACATAGATGGAAAAAGAATATATCCTTTCACTATCTATTCTCCCTTTATATATATAATAAAGCATCTATTTTTTATTGTATTTTTTGAACCAAAATAAAGAGAGATTTGATTATGAAATATGTAAAACAACAAAAACGACAAAAGATGCTTGGTAAAGATCTATATGCAGAAGGTGAAAACGAAAGGAGTTTGATGTTCTTGTTGAGGTTGAAAGAGCAATGGGTTGTGAAGAAAGAGAGATTTGGTCTCTTTGAGCTTGATGTTAACAATACTTTGATTTTTATGTTGATTTCCCCTCTTTGCTTGATTTTTCTCGTATGTTGTCTTGTCTTCTTCTTCGTTGGCACCGGTACAAGTCAAGGCCATTACATGTTTCTCCTCAGCTTTTACAGTAGAGAAATGGGAGTATGAGGAAGAAGAATAAAGAGGGGAAAAGAAAAAAATAAAGGAAAAAAACTAATATAATTTTTTATTTAGACCAAAACGATGTTGTTTTGGTCCAAATTTAATTTTTATAGAGATCCAAAAGTACACCATCTTAATATGTCTTAATATAAGTTTTTATTTCATAGCCGCTAATTATTTAACATAGAGTGACAAAAAAATCCTATGTATAAAGTTCAATAAGTAAATTAAAAACTTTTAAAGTACAGTAAATAAAATATAAGTGAATTACATAGGGGAGAGAGAGTAAAGTTCAGTTGGTAAATTTATAATTTACCCTAATTTAAATGATGTTGCTGATAGGTGTGTTGGTCAAATTTTATATCAAGTTCAATCAATCCGACTGGCGGACTGACCCACCAACAGCATATAAGAGTAGTTGTTGCAAACCATGTAACACAATCACAACACAATGTGCACTTTCTATTTGGCTAAATATAAATCTATGTGAAAGTTATAGTTTAACAATCTGCATTGCGATAAGAGCAATGATGATAAACAAACATCACTATATGTGTAGTTCACACGGATTCTTCTAACACATTCTCACAATGATAGCTTACAAGAAAAGGCATATACACTGCTCGGAATAACTTATCAGTCGTCGATTCCCTTTGTTACACCGAGGACAATTGCAATTGTAGCAAGAACAGCCTGCACAAGTAACAGCCCCATTAAACGGGTCTCTAAGAACCTGTCTCGAGGAAGAGAGGGGCAAAAGGGTTCCAATGCACCACGGCTTTCATAAAATTGGAAAAGCAGATATAAAGGATACTCACAGCAATTGTGCAAGCAATATATCCCGGTTTCTCTCGGTGGTCCATCCTCTCCCTCGCACAGAGTAGCATCAGCAATCCAATGTACCAGGGGATGGCCCCAAGGAAAAAACCAATGATGAACCTTCAAAGAAGAGATCAAGAACCATAGACTACTTAACTGGTAGCTATGATTGAAAAAAACAATAACCAGTACAATAATAAATATTATGTGGATTATGCTCCAGATTTGGGTTTTGGGTACACATTCAAGTGTCGGTCAAATTCATTTTAGAATATATTTTAGCAGACCATGTCATGACATTTATTGCTCTGGTTCTTCATTTTCCATGACATGGGTATGGAGTTCTGATGCACCATAATACCATATATATCAAAATAATGGGAAAATGCTAGCATGCCTGTGTTAGAAACTATACTATCCCCTGAATCCAAGTAAATGAGTTTAACGATGTTGTTTCACAGAAACAGGGACTTTAAGGAGACAAAGAGCTATACATCTCATGATAGCACTAGGCTGATAAAAGGGACCGTTATCAAATTTGGTCCATTCAAGCATTCATGTGAACATCTTATAGTTAAAATGTCTTAACAGAATATAGCTGCACATGAAAAAAATCATCCAAGAAGTGATCCTCAAGTAAGGCTCAATAGATGCAGGCTGTGCATTGCATTTCTTATCCTGTAAGTTTCTTGAAATTACAAGCATCCACCGTACCAATCTCATTATTAAAATGTTTCCTTATAGTCCCCCAAAGCTCAATGCTACAAGTCATAGCTTTCTTACAAGCTATAAAAATTTTGAGATTTTTTATTAACCCACAACAATAGGAGTAGAGAACATATTCATTAAGTTGTTATTTGCTTGACATTATGTTTTAGAAAATCTTAGAACAACAAAACAATGCGTGACTTACAGGAACCATCCAAGGCCACAGCCACAGCATGGTAGGCGACGCTCTCTTACAGGTCTTCCTTCAGCAACAGCATAACCTATACATCAAAGGTGTCAAGGACAAAGCATATCTAGAACATAAATATTTCATTAAAACAATGCAGGATTTGCCGTACGTGAGGAACACAAATCTCATTTGTTGAAAATTTTGTTTTCAACAGAATTATATACGAGAAAAGAAACTCGGACGCACCGACTTGAATTAAAAGAATACCAAAATATTACTGATCTTGCGATACATATCCATGAATCAAAACATTCTAATTTCTTCTTGAAACTATTATGAAATTTATAGTAAAATATGTCAACCACAATAGCAAAACATGGATTAAAACCCATGCTCATCCTCAAAAATCGGAAAGTCTTTCTATTGCATAAAAAACATAACAAAGCAGCTTGTATATCTAGGCAGTCATTTCCACATCTTCTCCGCTATAGTCATAAAACCCTTGCTGCTTTATAAACACACCTATCTTCTTCTAAAACATTAAAACAAAATTGGATCTTACATCTTCAAAAACGTGTTAATCATTCAAACCAACAAAAACCCAAATCTCAAAATCCATCCTTTGATTAACTAATCACCGAAAGAACAAAGTCTTTTCTGTTATTTGTAGACAAAGACTACCTGGAACGGTTTGATAACCTTGAGAATAATACTGAGGAGGAGGAGCAGAGAGCTGATGGAGGCCAGGCGGCGGAACAGGCTGGGGAAACCCAATAGCAGGGGGGCCATGGTGTTGAGGAGGAGGGTAGTTGGCCACTCCTTGGAAAGTTCCATATTGATTATGCTGGTGATCTACAACTACAGCTGTGTTTTTCTCGTCACCGCTCATTTTTTTTTCCTTTTTGGATATGCTTATGGATCAGCTAGAAAAAGGGAGAATGATTACCTTGATGTTAAGATTTTTGGTTTTTATGAGTGGTGGGATCAGATTGAGGAAGCTGCCTCGGCCTAGCTACCAGTTTGTCATCTTCACTTCACAACTAAAATCATTAAGACTTTTTTCTTTTTTGATCTTTTATTATAAAAAATTGACTTTTTTATCTTTTAAAATATTTACGTGCGAAAGTGGATAAGCTTTTATTTGTCAAATTTAAAAATTAAGTCGGTTGATTACTTCATATGAAATAAATGGAATATTCATTAATTCGTTGAGTAGTGAAGATGTTCACATTATCTAATTTCAAATATTGATATTTATTTTAAAATATAGTATTTTTTAATTAATTAAAAAATTAAATTATTTTGTTAGAGTTGTAAATGAAACGAGTTTAAATAAATGAAACGAGTTTAAATAAATGAAATTGTGTTTATGTTCATTTGTTTATTTTTAAAAATTTACATATTCGTTCCTATTTATTTAAATTTTTAGGCGTTTGTAGGTCTAATATTCATGACATATTCATTTAACGTTTACGAATATATTCGTCAATGCCGAATAATTAAAACTCTTTTAATCTTTATTCGCAAACCAAAGAAACATGGTGAAACTACATCATTAGTTCTTAATTTCTTTATATCATATAGTTTGAATTCCAAAATTCACTTTATTTTCAATTTAGTCATTACCTTCGCCATATTTAAAATGTAGAAGTATAAAAGAAAAAGGAGAATCGATTAAACGAGCTTAATAAACGAGTTTGTTTGTGAACATAAATGAACATAAAAATTTGTTCATATTCATTTATTTAACTTAATAAATGACCATATACAACCAATTCGTTGAAATCTCTGTTCATTTACACCCCTATATCCCATATAATAGAAGGACTAAATGGAATCGATCCATATAATAGTAGGAGTAATGTGACCCATTTAATAACAAAGGAACTAATTTGATCATGTCACTATAATATAGGGATCTATAGGTACTTTAACCTAAAAGTAAATTATTTTCACCCTACTGTTTACCCAACAGCCAAAACTCGTTGCTTCCCGCCGGTCTTACTTCCAGCCTCAACAACGCAATCGAGACCCGATGTTTTCGTTTCGGCCGCCATTACCAAAGCTTCTATAACTACTTTATTTAGCTTTACTTTTTTCTTCTTGTTTGATTCATTTTTTGTTTTGTAATCGCTGCCCCAAACTCATTTCAAAGCTCTGTTTTTTACTCGTTACAAGAACTCAAATCCCAAAGCATCCAATTTGGTGATTGATGAACCCTTGGTACAGTCTCTTTCCTGTTTGATTGAACTTTTCCTCATTAAATGCAAGAAAAATCTTCTACTTTATTATAGTTTTGGTGGTTTTGACTTAAAACTGATTTGATGGAATTCTTTTGGCTCTTCTTCTTTATCATTCTTTCCTTTTATTTTGCAAAAGGGTTTGTTTCTTTGCTATTAGTTTATTGATTGAGGTGATACTGAATACTTGTAGGGAAGTGGAGTAAAGTAAGGGATTTAGCTGTACTTGGTTAAACAAATTTGTTTCTTTTTATTGTTGAATTTGAGCATTTAAGTTGAGCTGTGCAAGATTTGTTTAACCAAGTTTGCAGGTTCTTTAGTTCTTGATGTAACTAGCAAAGTTGCAATCGATCCGTGTTTTGCAGGTTTCTTTTATGTATATATTTTGTGTATGAATTCAGATCCCAATGATTATTCTAAAATTGTTTACTCAATTATGCGTAGCTTAGAATCTTATTCTTGGAGTTTATGGAGCAATTCTTGTTGAAATTTGAAATTTGTTTTCCATCCATTTATTCATCCTTTTCTTGTAGGCTTTATTGTCAGTAGCATAATGGAAATGGAACAAGGAACAAGAAACAAGTATAAGGGCAACAATCCGCAATTGGAAACATTGTTATAGAGCTTTATTGCATATGAGATGGACCGCTGCTTTCGGGTTCCATTTATCAGTGGTTGGTTTAGTGGGAGTTGTTGACATCATATTGGCTGTAATAAGAGACGATAAATTGAGGGAGAAGAGAAAGAAACACTTGGTTCCTGGGTTGCAAAATCTTGGCAACAACTGCTTCTTGAATGTTATTTTGCTGGTTTGGTTCCTTTAAGCAAGTAGGTAGTTTTGTTTTTGTTCAGGCTCTGTGGCTGCTAACAAAAAGAGAGACGAAATAGGAAATAGGAAATGAAAATTAGTTACATCTCGAGTCTTGTTTCTTTTTGCTTTTGTTAGTCGGTTGGTGCTAATTTTTCATTAAGGAAAATTATGGGAAATTTTGTTCATTTTGGGTTCTTGAATCTGCAATATTTCAGGCTATGGCTAGCTGCTCATATTTTCAGCCTTTTCTTCAGAAGATACTGGAAGAATGTGAGTCTACACTAGTTGAGGGGCAGTGTGAAAGCTTGCCACTTACAGTTACTTTATCTGATCTCTTAGAAGGTAACATCAGCACTTTGTGAAGTGTTTTGCTTTCTCTAAATTTTCTATATCATGGGTATTTTAATCCACTCGAATGTTGACTGTAAGTTTTTTTAAATTTCCCCAATGACCATGGCATATAATATGGTACCTCAGCTGTGTCTCCGATGATTAGTTTGGTTGAGGATCAGAAATACATGTTTGACCTTGTCAACCTCCTTAGAGACTGTATTCGATGTGGTCATCGCAGCATGAGCTATATATATTCCAATTTTGCAGAATTAGGCATGGCTGGAGAAAGGAGAGTTGCATTAAGCCCGCATAAAGTCATGTGTGCATTGGCGCTTTATATTCAAAATTTTGATTTAACAAATCAGCAGGTGCATTTGTGTTTTTGATATTTTATCCATAAACTTAACACCATCTAGAGTGTAATTTATCTCTTATGTTGCTTCTACATGCAGGATGCAGCTGAAGCATTTCTCCATCTTTTGTCTTCTTTAAGAGAAGAATTTTCTATTGTCTATCTTTCCAGTCAAAGCACTTTAGCGGATATTTTTGCTTCTCAAATTTGTAGGATTCTGACTCCAGAAAGGAAGGAGGATAGGAATGAGCAGAAAAGATGGCAGCAACACTATCTTGGACCATTTGATGGCATTATTGGTAGCATTTTAACATGTCAGAGTTGTTCATATCAGGTTCTTATTCCCTTGTATAACGCATCTTAATAATTTATCTTCCTTTTCTTTTGTTCATGTAAGAAAACCCATTGGTCAGCTATGTTTGAACATCTTTAAATATATGATTATGATTCATTATGACATAACCTCATTTGATAATCTGGAGTTTAAAAATCATTAATGAAATTTTTATCTAACCTCTCATTTTCATTTTGGTGTTTCCCACTCAAGAGTTCTTTGGATTTTCAATTTTTTCACAGCTTGCCCCTTTTCCCGGTGCTTTATGGTGTTTCTACCATTGTATGTTAACTAAAGGTTTTGCCTATTATGGGTGTTTAAGCTTGTAACTTCTTTGAAGTTTTATTTTATAAATTGTGGATCCTCCTTTTAACTCTGGTGCAAATTTGTTCAATACAATATTAGATGGCTGGATGTACCTTGGAGGATTGCTTATGGCAGTTTGTCCTTACTGAAAAACTCGAGAATTACTACTGCAGCCATTGTTGGCACAGTGCTGCAATAAAATATTTATCTTGTAAAGGAGCAAACGAGGTAGTGTCTTTTTTAGTACTATAATGTAAAAATTAGCTTGTTTTATTTACTTGATGACAAAAATGTTATAAACTTTGTCTCAGATTGAGATTGAAAAGTTGAGGAGATGCAGTGCAGAAGACTCCTGTGATTGTCGAAATTTACATTGTTTAGAAAGTCTACCCTGGTCAAATAACTTTTCCAATACTCTAAAGCAGCTACGTATTGCTCGTTGTTCAATGGTATTAATTTTGATGTATCAATTACTTGTAGCAAAGTCTGATTTGCTTTTAGAGTATCCATATTGTCGTAACTGTCTTTCGGTTGGGTCCCGGAATTCGGTTTCGACTTAAAAAATGTGTATTGGAGTCACCACCGACCATTTTAAAACGAATTTAGGTGGGTCGGACACCATCTTACCTGATCTGCATTTTTACCAGAAATGTGTCGGGTTCGGGAGTCGGTTACGGTCAAGGAAGGATTAGCACCCTTGAACCGCCCTTTCGGTACCAATTAATTTGCCGGTTATCTTAGTTGCGAAAATTCGAAATTTAAATTAAAATTTAACATACCCAATTCAAATTACTTACAATTGATTGATTTAAATACCCTTAAAGGATAAAAACGTTAGATTCGTAGCGGAGTATAAAATCGAATTAGGACAGCAAGTGTGCAAACGTGAGAATAATAAATAAAACAAGAAAAAATGAAAAATAACAAAACACGTAAAAAATAATAAAAATAAACAAAATGAATAAAATGTTAAAAAAATACACAGATAAAGGAAAAAAATAATAGAGTAAAAAAAGTAAAAGAAATTAAAAAGGAATAAAAATAATATGTACTATAAAGTAGTTCTTACTAAAACAAATAAAAATAATAAATATATAATACTAAGTAAAACAAGTAAAAAATAAAGATATACATGATATTAAAAAAATAGAAAAAAAAATAAAATAAAAATATAATATATATATAAATAAATAAAAATAAAAATATAATATTAAGAAAAAATATATATAAAAACATATAAAATATAATATTAAGAAAAAATATATATACATAGCAAATAGAGAAAAATTAATACATCTATATATATATATAATGATATAAGATATATATAATAAAAATAATATAATATAAATAAATAAATAAAAGAGGAATATAGTAAATAAATAAATTAAATATAATTAAATATATATATAGGAGACAAAATTAATATAAAAGTAAAATTAAAGGGTAAATTTCAAGGTAAATTAAATATTTAGATTAACTTAGGGGGGAAATATTAAATACTTTTAAAAAAATGAACATGCCTTGGGAGTAGATATAGGTTTGAAACTTCGAAACCCCACCATTTTTTGGTCATCAGCGCAACCCACGCTTTGGGTTATTTGAACCGAATCTCAAGAAAAATAATATGCACATGCGAGAAATGAACGATTAAATGTAAAAAAATGCTACCTTTTATTTTCTTTTCGAATCGTTTACAATAGTTTTGCCTTTGTATTTTTTCGTGCTTTCCTCTGTATCTTGTATGTAAATCGTCTGTTACAAATGGGGAGGATTACATGTATTTATAGTGAAAAAAACTAACTATTTTTAGAATCCTATTAACAATAGAATCCTAATGCAACTAGACTCCTTGTTCGGTTGTTGCACGTTTGTTGGTGTGATTGTTGCTTTAAAAGATATGGTGATGGAAGAGTCCTCTTAGGATATGAACTTTTGCTAGTTCTATCTTTTAAGAAAATGGGTGTCTATAACTGCCCCTCTTTGTCCTTTTTCGTGGAACGAAAAATAGGACAAAGATAAAAAGACACAAATTTTCGTTCAGTGGAGTTGAAGAATAACTCCCTGTCGAATTGAGTTGCGGATGGCTCCTCCGTCGCGAAGTCGAGTCCATCTTGAAATGATTTGAATCAGAATGTGGCTTCTCGTCGTAGTTCACTTTGGTCTTCTTCTCGGTTTAAAGACATTGACTAAAAATTCGACTGGAAAGTAATCCCTTAACTCCACAATGTGGTTGATATGCTCTCGAGCTGAATGAAACCGAACTCGAAAAGTCTTCGTTGACAGATAACTTTTCTCGACTTAAGCTATGCTGACGGGAAAAAGGCTTCTTGCTACTAAGGCACGGCTAACCCAGATCTTCTTATCGGCTTGAAAACCTCGATTGTAGCCGAACAATAGTGTGATTGAGGTGTCATCGAGCTGAATGGAATCGAACTCGACAATTTTCGTTGACAGATAGCCCTTCTTGCCTAAGTTATGCCGTAAATTTGATTTACCTCTGAGTTGAATGTAATCGAACTTGAAGGTCTTTGGTGATAGATAACCCTTCTTTGAGTTGGATATCCTTCGTCATGAAGTTGAAATCCAATCTAGAGATGGATGTTGCTTGTGTGCACAATTCCCCTTCGTCGTGAAGTTGAAACCGCGGGTGACCCCTTCGTCGTGAAGTTGAGCCTGGTAATTGGATATCCTTCATCGTGAAGTTGAAATCCAAGTGGGTAGTATTGTTCCGAGTCCAATATCCTCCGTCGTGAAGTTGAAATTGGCTCTGGAATTGGAAATTGTTTGTTGACAGCCAGCCGCCCCTTCACTGTGAAGTTGAGCTCGTGTTGTCTCGAGTTCAATATCCTTCGTTGTGAAGTTGAAATTGACTCTGAATGAAACTGAAAAGTTGTTTGTTGACAATCAGTCTCCCATTCGTTGTGAAGTTGAGCTTGTGTTGTCTTGAGTCCAATATCCCTTGCTGTGAAGTTGAAATTGGCTCTGAAACTAGGAAGCCCCTTCGTCGTGAAGTTGAGCCTCAAATAGCACGATATCCTCCGTCGTGGAGTTGAAATCGTGGATGTGCGGGTACGATATCCTCTGTCGTAGAGTTGAAATCGCGGATGGCTCATTCGTCGTGAAGTTGAGCCTTGACTTGAATATCATTCGTCGCCGTGAAGTTAAAATCCAAGTATTGTATGTTGCGAGTGAACACGATTCCCTTCGCCGTGAAGTTGAAACCGTGGATGACCCCTTTATTGTGAAGTTTGGCTTCGAGTTAGATATTCTCCGTCGTGAAGTTGAAATTTACTCTCGAGCAAATTGTGTCACTTTGAGTTTAATATCCTTCGTCGTGAAGTTGAAATTGACTATAGCTAAAACCTGAAAAAGTTATGCATATATGTGATGCTATGGATGCAATGCTCTTAGGTGTGCCTAAAATGCATATGCAACATATGTTATCTTGGGGCTCTAGAGAGAAATCTCGATCTTCGGTTGCCTGTTTGGAATCTTGATTCTTGAATCTTCAAGTTCTGATCCATGATCTTGAATTCTTCAAATGTTCAAATCTGATGTGCACATTCTATTTTTGATTTGAGAAATGCTTCTCGACCATCTCAAGTATGTGTCTGAGCTGAGTTTAACGGTTCAGATGATGATTCAAGAGAAGTTGTCTCGAAAGAGATAGAATTGTTTCAAGGGAAACGATCTCAAAGATATCTGTTGTTTCAAGAGAAACTGTCTCAAGGGAGACAAAATTTGTTTTAGGGGAAATAAATTCAAAGATTTGGTTTCAAGGGAAACTGTCTCAAGAGAGACGAAATTTGTTTTAAGAGAAACTGTCTCAAGAGAGACAAAACTTAGTTCCAAAAGAAACTGTCTCAAGGGAGATGAAATTTGTTTCAAATAAAACATATTCAAATAATTTGTTTCAAGGGAAACTGTCTCAAGAGAGACAAAATTTGTTTCAAGGGAAACTATCTCAAGAGAGACAAAATTTATTTCAAGGGAAATGATTTCAATGTTTATGTTTCAAGAGAAACTGTCTCAAGGGAGACAAAATTTTGTTTCAAGGGAAACAATCTCAAGAGAGACAAAATTCGTTTAAAGGGAAATGTTTTCAATGTTTATGTTTCAAGAGAAACTGTCTCAAGGGAGACAATATTTTGTTTCAAGGGAAACTATCTCAAGCGAGATAAAATCTTCTTTTTAAAAACAGTCTTGAGTGAAATGAATTGCATTCTTTCTAGTAAAACAACCTCAAGTGAGACAAAGTTTGTTTTAAGAAAAGCAATCTCAAGTGAGATAATCATCTGCATTAAATGAGACTGTCTCAAGCGAGATAAAATTTATATTGGAAATGTTGAATCTGAAGATGAATGTCGATCTTTTAATCTGTCGAGTTGGTTGAAGTGTGACTTCTTGCTGCTGAGTTAAGCAACCACCATCGATTTTTACAAACTCTTTTGAATCAAGTATCTTTCACCTTGTAGTTGAAACTTGACTCTAAAGCTGCAAAACTTATGTATGTGAAAAAATGATAAATATGATGCTCTAAAATGTATGCATAATGAATGAGTTATTGTTTTTTTCCTTGGACAGAATCTCATTTTTTGCCTGCTGGTTCCTATATGTGGAGGAAAAGCCTTCGGAAGATCTGATCGTTCGCATCAGGATTTTGAATCCCCGGAGATGCCCCAATATTCAATGTTGAATCTCCAAAAATGCCCCAACATTAAAAGTGCCCCTATTGTTCCTCATTTCTTGCTTCAACATTAATTCTAAGTATGAGATTACTGTCTGAGAGCCACATGTCATTTACCAAGATCCACTCTAGAGAGATTGTCTTGTTTGAAAAAATGTTTCTTTTTTATTTTCAAAGTTCTGAAAATATCAATTAAAAGAGTTTCGAAAAATGTTTAATCAGAAGTTTTGAAAATATTGCCCCTTTCACGGTTTTACAATTGAGACGAATCATAAAACTAGAGTTCATTGGATATCAAAGAATTAATTACAATGTTAATCTTTCAATAAATTATAGATATTTGACACGTGCCAAGATCAAAGCTATTTTTGGGAAATGGTTAAGTAAGGAAAGGATAAAAAGTCTCAGGTTATTGTGTTTGGTCAAAGGTTTGGCATTTTTTTGTTTATTTGATGCTCAAAGGTTTGATGGGGCACCTTGTATGCTCCTCTACTGGAAGTGTTCTCCGACTCCCAACTTTCATGGTCATGCTCGGATTGTGCGATGCCTTATCAAGGAATTTGTGTGATCACCTCAGCTGCCCAATTTTCGTATTCGAGTCGCCTTTTCAGGTTTTCAACTCGAATCCTCCTTTGGTTTCAAGACGTCATTCTTAATTTACGTCTTGAACCCCTGTGTTATTTTTCTCTATCATACATTAATTACACTGTTTCTTACAAATAACGATTAGTCCTGATGGACGGGATGAAATCTGAAGATAGTCTCTTCTGTTTAGAAAGCCATGTATGATTAGAAGGGACTTTTAAGGCATATAACATAGGTCATGGTTCATGGTTATGAAAGAAATGGATAAAAGTATCAAACAAGTTTTTAAGGGTCATTGAACCAAGGATCAATTCATTCTGATGTCTTCAATCATATCTTGCTCAATTTGAATCTACTCGTATGTGTGTCTCTCTTGATGCTCTATGATCTTCGAGTAGAGTGATTCAGTTATTCAGAAACGATTGTGCTTGATCAATCTCATTTGGTGCTGTATGATCTTCGAGTGAAGTGGTTCAGTGATTTGATCAATCTCATAGTTTGAATCTCGATGCATCGTTTGAATCGAGAGAATCTTTGCATATGTATATTGTCTTTTTTTTCAATTTTCCTTTGTTTTTTTCTTTTTCTTTTTTCTTTTTATTTTTTATTTTTATTTTTTTCTCCTTTTGTTCTGATTGAATCTTCGCACTTGGCATTTGGTTCACCTTTCGGTATCTCATCTGAATCAATGTCTTCACTCATGCGAGCAGATTTTCTCCACCTTGCCTCTAGTGTGGAGGGTGATCATTTGTTAGGGTTGAATCAGAAGAAAAATACTATAGGCTCAAAAGGGGACACAAGGGATATATATTTTCTCCTGTTGTGAAGGGATGAAGAAAGAAAGTCGTTCATCATTTCATACATGGAAGCCCTCACAAAAGAGATATCCCTAGGGGGATAGATTTTCAGGATTAATTTTATTCACATGAAAACAGTGTAATTAATGCATGGTATAATTATTTCGAGTGAATTCTTCTTTCTGCTTCTTTCCCCCAACATGTCTCAATGTTTAGGCTCCCTGCGGGATGCCCCAAGTTGTGTCTTAGAAGAATGCTTATGTTCAAATGAACAACTCAATGCCTTGGGTTTTAATAGTATAAAAATGTTAATTTTGAGTCTAAAAAGACAATGATGTGACTTTATTGACTCAAAGAAAGGTATGGGTGTATCAAAAAGATAAATGCATTGTTAAAAAATTTCAAAGGAATGTAATGTCAAAATTTGGTCTTTTGGGTAATGACCATGAGTTATTTTGGGTAAAGAATTAAGGTTTTTTATTTTGGGGTTTGAGACAGGATAAGAAAGGTCTAACCTTGTCATGTCTCAAAAATCCATAATTCTTGAAGAATTAAAAGAATCCTTAGTTCATTTAATATTCGAAAAACTAAAGATTAAGATTTGTTCAATTGCTCCACCTTAGAAAGTAGCATAAATTCAATCGTTTAAAAGATTAAGCGAACATGAAAGATCAAAGACGTGTTCAAACAAAACAATCCTCTAAGTGCAAATAATATATGCAATGTCCCTTCTTCGGCTGTCCGTCCCCTGAACCCATCAGGTTTTGGATCTCGCGCTTCAACGCCTTATAGTTCTCAAAGAAATGTTTGGAGCATCCTATGTGGAAACTGAAAATAGCTTCAACATCGTAGCCCTTAGGATATGTGGACTATTTTCTCAGATCATCTTGGAAGGCTTAGTCGTACAACCAGCTGATCGAGCTCATTCATTATGATTTCAGTTTTTTTCTTTTGATGTTACAATCTTGCTTCCATGTGGTGTCATGTTCTCCATGAAGAAATTTCATGTTTATGAAAATGCTTAAAAATGAAATGTAGATGCAAAATGCAAAAATGCATGAAATGTTCGAGGCATTGATCCAAAAACATGTCTGTTATTGTAAATAACCTTTATTGGGACAAAAGTGTTTTATCTTTTAAGAGACAATAAACATATTTAAAGGTACATCCGGACTAAATCCTCTAGACCCGGAACAGGTTGACTAGTCATTTGCCTTCGTCTTTCACCGGTTGAATAACCTGTTGAACCACTCCGGCCTCTCTGGATGAACCGTGAAAATGTTGAGTTATTTTTTTTACTGGTTCCCAAAAAGTGTCGAATGACTTCATCTCTGGCTTTCATCCTTTGCTGAATCGGAAATTCCATTGAAATCCTCCATCAAAGGGATTATCCGAAGTTCATTTGCTTGTTTCTTGAATTTGTCGACAGTGACTTGCCATCTTGTTCTTGTTGTATTTGAATGGACTCTCGAGGTCAGTAACCTTTTTCTCGTCTTGCCCCTGCCACCTTTGTCAACCCATTTTTGAAAAGTTAACTTTTGATGTACTTGATTGTGGGCACCATGTCTTCTTGATCGAACGTGACATATAGTTGTCTTGCAAATTGTCCTCATTTTCTTTCTGAGTCTTTTCTGACCATAGCCAAACCCCTGCGTTTTTCATCTCTTGTATTACAACCCCTTCGTCCATTAATGCAAATTATTTATGGTTAACGAACACGTTTTTTATGTGGATCAATACCTCTTTTGAATGATGCAGATGATGGAAATAAAATAAAAGAGAGAAAAATTGAAAAGAGTTAGTAAGGTAAAGATAATAATAATGAAAATAAAAGGTCCTACCCCACATGATATCTACCCCACATACTTTAATTCCTACCCGGACATGATATCTATCCCGCATGCTAATTCCATACAAATCCTAACCGCATATTTGTCTAGTTCGCATGCTTTGAACAGAAAGTAAAGCATGAAACAAAGCAACTTAGGGTTTGGAATGAGGTTTTGGGGTAGGCTCTAATTCTCCATAGCCTCCCTGTTTAGGTTCTAAAAAACGGGACCCGAGTTCTCCTTGCCGGTGCCCCCTTGGGCTTACCACACCCTTAGTCCTAAGCCCATTACAAGCTTATGTGGACTAAGTTACACTCGAGAGGAAACATTCTCTTATGCCCGCACAGTGAATAAATTCACAAGAAGGCATCGCTTTCACCCCCACTTAAAAGGGTTCGGAGCTCGGGTATAGAGCTAGAGATGAAAACTTTTTCAAAAATCTGAAATCATTGAAAAAACGTCAATACAACTATTTACTTGAAAAAAATAATCAAAGATAAATAATTGGAATCAAATAAATAAATTAAAATTTAAACTTTTAATTTTCGCTAAAAAAAAGACAACTGAAAATTAATTTCGGCCTGACTCACTTACCTGTCCCCAGCGGAGTCGACAAGCTGTCGTAACCGTCTTTCGGTTGGGCCTTGGAATTGGGCTTCTACTTGAAAAAATGTGGATTGCAGTCGCCACCGACCATTTTAAAATGAATTTAGGTGGGTCGGACACCATCTTACCTGATCTGCATTTTTACCAGAAATGTGTCGGGTTCGGGAGTCGGTTACGGTCAAGGAAGGATTAGCACCCTTGAACCGCCCTTTCGATACTAATTAATTTGCCGGTTGTCTTAGTTGCGAAAATTCGAAATTTAAATTTAAATTTAACAGACCCGATTCAAATTACTTACAATTGATTGATTTGAATACCCTTAAAAGATAAAAACGTTAGATTCGTAGCGAAGTATAAAATCGAATTAGGATAGCAAGTGTGCAAACGTGAGAATAATAAATAAAACAAAAAAAAAATAGAAAATAACAAAACACGTAAAAATAATAATAAAAAAAACAAAATGAATAAAATGTTAAAAAAGGACACAGATAAAGGAAAAAAAATTCATGGAGTAAAAAAAAGGTAAAAGAAATTAAAAAAGAATAAAAATAATGTGTACTATAAAGTAGTATTTACTAAAACAAATAAAAATAATAAATATATAATATTAAGTAAAACAAGTAAAAAAATAAAGATATACATGATATTAAGAAAAAATAGAAAAAATAAAATAAAGTAAAAATATAATATATATAAATAAATAAAAACAAAAATAAAATATTAAGAAAAAATATATATAAAAACGTATAAAGTATAATATTAAGAAAAAATATATATACATAGCAAATGAAGAAAAATTAATACATCTATACATATATATATATAATGATATAAGATATATATAATAAAAATAATATAATAATAAAATAAAAAAAGAGGAATATAGTAAATAAATAAAAAATATATAATTAAAAATATATATATAGGAAACGAAATTAATATAAAAGTAAAATTAAAGGGTAAATTTCAAGGTAAATTAAAGATTAAGATTGACTTAGGGGGAATATTAAATACTTTTAAAAAAATGAACATGCCTCGGGAGTAGATCTAGGTTTGAAACTTCGAAACCCCATCCTTTTTTAGTCATCGGCGCAACCCACGCTTTGGGTTATTGGAACCAAATCTCAAGAAAAATAATATGCACATGTTAGAAATGAACGATTCAATGTAAAAAAAATGCTACCTTTTATTTCATTTTGGAATCGTTTACAATAGCTTTGCCTTTGTATTTTTTTCGTGCTTTCCTCTGTATCTTGTATGTAAATTGTCTGTTACAAATGAAGAGGATTACATGTATTTTATAGTGAAAAAAAACTAATTATTTTTAGGATCCTATTAACAATAGAATCCTAATGCAAATAGACTCCTTCTTCGATTGTTGCACGTTTATTGGTGTGGTTGTTGTTTTAAAAGATATGGTGGTGGAAGAGTCCTCTTAGGAGATGAACTTTTACTAATTCTATCTTTTAAGAAAATGGGTGTTTACACATATGTTGTTTAGGGTCATACTGAAGACTATTCTTGTAGGCAGTCTGCACGGGTATTTTTTTTCATGTGATGCTTATTTTTCAATTGTACACTTGTTGATTCTATGCCTTCATCTACAACGTGCTTCAATGAATGAATTTGGGAAACTGGTCAAGCTTCAGGTAGTTTCCCGGCTTGTTAATTACTCTCACATCATTGTTTCCTAAGTAAAGTATTTCTTGCTTGTACGTCTTCTTTGCTGGAAGTTATATGTGAATGGTTGTCATAATAGTAAACTATGCGTTAATGGATGCAGGGTCGTATTTCTTTTCCATTGATTTTAGACCTGTCACCATTCATGACTACTGAGGTGGAAATAACAAACTGGGAAGGGGTCCGTAAAGGGCAACTGAAGCTGCAAAGTCAAAAAAGCCAAGGCCTCGTCTCGACCTTATCAATGTGCAATATGAAACCATTTTCAATCACATTAGAAAACCAATGGGAGAACAGGTTTCTTCGGAAACATTAGAAAGCCAATGGAAGAGTAAGTTGTACCCAACTGATTGCAGTTCAAAGGCCTCCAACACGCTTGAGCAACATGATGACAAGGTTGGTTCCATATTACTAATCTGAACATATGTAGGCTGTAAACGTAATTTTGAGCAAAATATATTAATAACTATTTTTGTTAGTTCACTAAGAGGTTAGTTTTAACGTTTTTAGAGCACGTCTTGTGAATTGTGTTAAGGTGGCAGAGCTTTAGAAGCTTCTTGCCTTGGTTCTTTTGTGCCTTTCGCAGTTTGGCATTTGTGCGATGAATACTAAACTAGTTGTTTTCTTGTGTTTTCCTTTTTGGCATTGCTAGCTGTGCTATTTTTGTGCAGGTTTTGCCCTTTCATCATTGAAAAACTGTGAAAATGTTATCAAATTTGATTATTGGTGCATGAAGTGCAAAGAGAACAATTTCTCAGAGATCTTTTGCTGCTTGTGATCATGAATGGAAATTTATTAACATTTACATGGACCGAGATTCCCATTCTAGCACTCTAAACCTGTTTTTTGAAAAATCATGACTCATTCTTTGGATATATGCATCTGTTTCTTAACTTGGTTAAAAAAACTTGATTAAATTTTGGAACTTTGTTTTACCAACTTGATATATACGACACTGTAAATTTGGGATTCATAATTTGGGCACGACATGCATGGTTTTTTAATGGATTGAGGGCTGACAGCTGTCTATATAGGATGTGCATCTAATTTCTTGATGCAAGTAAGTTTGGCTGGCAAGTTACCTCCTTCAGACACTAAATTATATCGGCTTGTGTAACATCCTCAATATTGGGT